AAATAATACACTGCATATATTCTTCTTAGTGGTTAATTGCTGTACAAGATGCGGACTTGTGATCCTATTTACAAACACCATTAGAACAAATCATTCTATGGAAATTACATCTTAAGGAAAGATTATATAAAATATGATATTTTCACGAGTAATTCATCTAATTTTGCGTAGATTTTTTTTTTTTCCAAACATAGGAGATATCTGTCCTGTTTTTTAAAATTCCAAAGATGAAGCGTGGTGGCACACACTTCCAATCCAAGCTGCTTGGGAAGCTCAAACAGGAAGAGGACAAGTTTGATACTACCCTGGGCAATTTAGCAAAACTTTGTCTCAAGATAAAAAGAGACCAATGGTATAGTTTTGTGCTCCCCAGGTTCAATCCCCAGTACTAGGAAAAAGAGAAGAAAGAAAGCAAAGAATATGGTGGTAAACGCCTGTAATCCCAGCATTCAGGAGGCTGAAGCAAGAGGATCATCATAATTCTAGGCCAGCGCGGACTGCATAGTGAGACTCTTTGTCAAAAGAATTTTTTTTTTTTTTTAAAGTAAAGGGAAGGAAAAGAAAAGAGAAGGAAGGAGAGGAAGGAGAGACAGAAAGATAGGAGGGCAGGAAAGAAAGAGAAAAAAGAAAATACTGGCCAGGTGTGTAGCACATGTAATCCCAGCACTCCGGGAGGCTGAGGCAGGATCACCGTAAGTTCAAGGCCAGCCTGTACTGCATAGTGAGACCCTATCACAAAAGAAAAACAATCCCCAGTTCTGTAAAAAAAGAAAAAATATGTATGTTTTTAAAAAGGTGAGACAAAGGACGTAGGCAGGAAGTATGGTAGTAAATAGCCAGTGTTTGTCTGGAAGGCATTGTTCTAATAGCGCTCATCTCGCCACACGAGGAGGCTGATGTAGCTATTATCCCTGTTTTATAAGTGAGGAAACTGAGGCATAATGAGATAGAAGTCACTCAGCTGGGGAGTAACAGCCACGATTTAAACCAGGATAGGATGCCTTAAGAAGCTTCTGTTTTAAAAAAATAAATATATATATATATTTTTAAAGAATTCCAGTTTTTTCTCGTTTTGGTACTGAAAACTGAAACCATGGCCTCATGCATGACAGGCAAGCACTGAGCTACATTTTCTGCCCTTTATTCAGGGGCCAAGGAGATGGCTCAGGGGATAAGCGCTTCCCTGGCAAGTGCGAGGGCCTGAGTTCAATCCCTGGTTCTGCACCAAAAAAAAGAAAAAGTAACACCTCTGCCCTTCATTCAGATTTTATTTGGAGACAGAATCTTCCCAACTTGCCTAGACTACACTTAAACTTTGGGTCCTCCTTCTCAAGCCCCCCAAGTAACTGGGATGGCAGCTGTCATGGCCAATGTAGAGTGAACATTCCTAACCACTGGTCTCTCCTGTCTTATTTCCGGCCTTCCCCTCTCCAGGTTATTGTTCAGAACTACAACTCCATCTTGACGCTTTCTCACTTGTACCGATCTTCAGATGCCCTCCTCGTGCAGGAGAATGACGCTGTCCATAAGATCTGTGCAAGACTGATGAAAATCAAGCAGATCTCCTTTCGGGATATAAATCAAGTCCTTGCGCATCAGCTGGGAAGTGTGTTCCAGCCTACGTACTCTGCAGAAGGCGCATTTCACTATAGAACAAATCCACTAGGTATTGGTCTCTCTCTGTTTTTTATAGGAAAATCTTTTGTTCTTTTTTTTTAGCCTCATGCTCTGACAGCTTCATTGTTATTTTTCACTGTCTGCCTTTCAGTTCTCCCTCATCTTCAAGCTGGTGTAGTGTTTTGGTTTTTGTTTGTTTTTTGAGACAGTTCAAGCTGGCCTTAAACTTGTGATGATTCTCCTTCCTGAGCCTCCTGAGTCTGGGATTCCAGGCATGCACCACCACGCCCAGCAAGCTGGTGTAGTTGGAGAGCACTGAGCTATATCCCCTACCATTGTTTCCTTTTTTTTAGGTAGCACAAAGGCCATGTATCCACTGCATCCCCAGTACCAAATACTGCAAAAGACAAAAGAAAACCTTCCTTCAGACCTTCTTATAGCTCTGATCTGTTCTATTGGAAAGTCTTGAGAAGTTGCTAAATTTCTGAAGAGTAGTATATAGAGCCCATTGACTTGTATCATTCAGGTTTCTCTCTTCTTTATTTATTTGCAGAAGTAGGGGCCAAACGCAGGGCCTTGCCCATGCTAGGCAGATGCTCTGCCACTGAGCTACATCCCTAACATCCTCTTTTGTCATTTTTAATAGTCATTTCACTGCAATATAATTCACATACCATGCAGGTATGTGAAGTGTGTACAATTCACTGTTCTTAGCATATTCATACACAGCAAAGCTCTGTATCTTTTAGCAACCACTAATATTTTCTTTTTCCTCCAGCAACTTCAGTGCTAGTCAGCCACCAGTCTGTTTTCTCTGTCTTTTAAAAATTTTCCTTTCTAGTACTGGGGCCTGAACTCAGGGCCTTACTTATAATGGACAAGCATTTTATTGCTGAGCTGTAAACCATGTGGTAGATCACATTTCGTTTATTCATCACCGGTTGATGGGGGGCCAGGGAGATGGCTCAGTAGAATAAACACTTGCCTGGCAAGTGCAAGGGCCTGAGTTCAATCCCCAGTTCCGCCAAAAAAACAAAAAACAGTTGATGGACACCTATTTGACCATTAGGAATAATATTGCTATTTATACACATCTTTGTGCAAATATGTCTTCATTTCTCTGGGATAAATATCTAGGAGTAGAATTGCTGGGTAATGGGTAGATATGGCACTCACCAGTAATCCTGCTTAGCTTCTTAGGGTGCTGAGGCAAAAAGATTGAAAGTCTGAGGATGGCCTGGTTAATTTAGTAATAACCAGTCTCCAAGTAAGGGCTTAAGGTGTAGCTCAGTGATAAGACTTAAAATAATTTTTTTTTGGGGGGGGTACCAACAATCAAAGTAAAGACCTTCAAAAACAAGTGTTTCAGAAAATGCCAAGCCTTTCCAAAGTGGATCTGCTGTTTCACAGTCCCAGAAGTAACTAAAAGATACTACTGATTAATTCATATTGTCTAAGTGCAATTGACATTGTAATCTTTTTTTTTTTTCCCTGTATTTTAGCAAAGGATCTACAGGGTGTTCAGGGTCTCACTACTAGATTGGACTCATAGTGATTCTCCTGTTTACAGCCTCTCCAAGTGCTGGGATTACAGGTGTGGGTACCACGCCTGGTCTCAGTTGCCATTTCAGTGCATCCCAGGAGCAGGACCAGCATGGGGCTCGAACCCCTGGCCACTGCGCCTGCTTGTAGGCACTTTAATCTGCTGAGCTATTTGGCTGACCCTTGACTTTGTAATCTTTACTCCCATTTCTAATTTGTTTCTCAAATAGTTGCCTGTCCCAGTTTTTGTTGTTGTTTTTAAAGACAGGGTGTTACTACATAATCCAGTTGGCCTCAAACTGGTGAGCTTCCTGCCTCAGCCTCCCATGTGCTGGGATTAAAGACATGTGCTACTACAACCATCTCCTTCCTCTTCTCTGTTCCCTTCTCATCTTTTTCTTTTTCTTCTTTTTTTTTTTAATTGGGTCTTGCTCTGTTATCCAGGCTGGTCTAGAACTCCTGACCTTGAAAGATCCTCCTGCCTCAGCCTCCCAAGTACCTGGGACTAAGACAAGTACCACCACACCTGGATAAAACTAGATTTTTTTTTCTTCAGCACTGGGGACAGAGTTTTACTAAGTTTCCCAGGCTAGGCTGGCACTTAATCCTCCTAACTTCACCTCCCACAGTACTGGGATCTTAGGCATGAACCACTACACATGGTTAAGGACCAAAAAAAAAATTTTTTTTTTTTTTTTTTTTTTGTGGTACCAGGGATTAAACTCAGGACCTTGTGCTTGCCAGGCAAGCACTTATTCCACTGAGCTATCTCCCTAGCCCTAGGACCAAAATTTTTGTCTAATTTATCATTGGCTAGACAAACTAGAATAAACTCGGTGGCTCAGACAGTGCACAGTGAATGGTGAGCACTCAGTGAAGTCTTTGTTGGCTGGAGAGCAAGTGGATGTGGAGAGCACAGAAGTGGTAGGACCGGAGACATCAAGGTGGGTGTCAGGCCGCTTGGGCAAGTGCAGGGACCGCAGGTGGATCCCCGGCACCACATGCTGTGCCAGCCCCGCCCCCAGGGTGTAGTGGCGCATGCACACGCACATACACACACCCCTGTAATCCTAGCTCTGGAAAGGCTGAAAGCTAGAGGATCATTGAGCCCAAACTGTGTAGTGAGACCCTGCGACAACCAAATATATTAAAAAATAAAATAATAAATGTGGGTGTTGTGTATGTAATATGGAGGAGCAAGGAGCCAGCCTGAGGGCCGGCCATATAGCTCAGCGGATTAAAGCGCCTTCAAGCAGGCGCAGGGGCCAGGCGTTCAGGATGCCCTGAGATGGCAATTGAGACTGGGTATGGTGGTGCAGACCTGTAATCCCAGCTCGTGGGAGGCTGTAAACAGGCAGATCACTATGAGTCCAATCTAGTAGTGAGACGCTGAACACCCTGTAGATCCTCTCCTAAAGTACAAAAAAAGAAGCCAGCCTGCCTGCTAGTGGGGTGCTCCTGATTGTGTCCTGAGGGAGAGTATGAGGAGGGGCTAATCCCCCTCTGGAATTTTGCCAGAAAGCAGGTGATAGATGAATTCAGAAGGCAGGAATATCATATAACCAGATAAGTAAAAGCTTGAGAAAGTGTTCTCAAGAAATATTTAGGGGGCTGGAGAGATGGCTCAGTGGTCTAAAGCACCTACTTAGAACAAGCTTAGCAAAAGCATCAGGGACCGCGGTTCAATCCCCCAGCACCACAT